AATGCAGTTATCATTTAGTGCAGTATATGTCACTAACTGTATAGTGTATACGTATTGAAAATGCAAATACGCTAAGGAGGATAGGTTCTGTAGGCGTTAAAGAATGGTATGACGTATTCTCCGATGATGCATATTAATTTTTTTAAATTTTACTAATAAATGAAAGTCACTGAGAATGAAATTTTTTTATAAAGTTTCAGATAGTCGTACCTGTTCGGGCTACTGGTCCTTTTTCGGCAACCGCTTCCGCAACTAAGTTCCAGGCCATGGATTTCTTGTGGGCTTCCTTGTAATCGCATGTCTTTTTGTTCCACAACAACGGCAGTTCCTGTACTTCTTCAATCAAGAGCAACTTTTCAGCTTTCGTCCAGTTTGCAGAAGGTTTTGGTAATGTAGGCGGAAGGTCACTGGATGCGGGTGCGTTTTTGCGTTTCGGTGGCATTTTAAATATCGTACACGATTCGATCCAAAACGAAAAAGAACGACTGAACCTTTTTGCATTTTTTATCCACGATTTTCGAAAGATCCGCTATTTGACGGTGCACCAGGATATGGAGTTGTTTTTCATTTCGTACGACCATTTTACTTGAATCAGTTTCTCTGAACTCTAATTGTTCGACATCCTATAGTTTTAATTTACACTACCGCTGTGTTGCCCACATTGATCGTGATTGGTCGAAAGCAAAACATTTCTGTTTTGCAAATGATTTTGATTTTCCAAAACATTTGGCAAAACAGATGAAACATTTTCAAAACAGATGACTGTTTCGAAAATGTGCATCATGTTCATACTTTCTGTGTAGATGCCCACAGAAAACCTGTTTTTCTTATCCTCATACTTTTTCATCTGTTTCGACTTTTTCGACTGTTTTGAGGGAAACAGATAAGTATGAATCCAGCATAAGAAACATGCAATGGTCAAGCAGGAGATCTGCTGCAGATACCTATGTACTGTTGAGACAGTACGTAAGCTTAAACTGCGCGATAAAAGGTGACGACATCTCATTAAATTATTCGAATAACGATATTATCAGGCATAACGCTGCTTTCCCGACAGTTCGCATTGTAGGTGTATGCAAGAATTGTGGCGGCTTATTGTTTCTACAAAACTACAAAACCATTTGGCGAAACGGATGGAACCTTTAAGAAAAATAATAATCAATCCGGGAAAGTGATACAGCATCATTCCGAAAGCTTTCTATTCATTCCATTCATCGCATGCTATTGTCTTCTTAAACTGAGGTCATGCGCGTACACATTACAATGAATGGAAATTCGCTATGAAAAATACTGAAAATTCATGGTTTCAAAAATCCTGTTTGACCATTGCATTAAAAACTAGACCTTGTTATGTGTCATATGGCTACTGTGCAAAAGATCTAAGAAATTTGGACGACTGAATTGTTACGATTTTTTAATCGATCTGCTTTGCCCTTTCTCCGTAGACTCGTATGTTACTTCAGCGGAGTAGGCGTTCCTGATCTTATCTCGTTGCCAGGCTTAGTCTACTCTGGTGGCTTTGGTGCGTCGCAACTTATTAAACGCGATTGTTTCGCAGCGCAGTTTTTACGGTTCAGGCTACATTGCTACAAAGTAAAAAACTCTATCAAAACAGCCTTTTGGCCTACTAGGGTACAACCGGGAAGATAGTCTGCAACTTTGCACACTGCAGTCGTGAAGCCAGTTCGGAACTCTACCCGGCATCGATTAACGGCTCGAAGTAAAAATTTTCGGAAGTTCAAAATACATCTACGTTTCAGTCCGATTACGTTCCAAGCGCGTAAAAAAATTGCACGAAGCACCAGTTATTAGAAAATTCGGGGACGGTTTTCGAGAAATGGCGGCTGTTCTACCGGAATATGACGGTGTGCCCAGTCCGTACTTCCATCTCCCCACAGAACTAATGCTGCAGATCTTCTCCTGTTTGGACATCATGGATATCAGAAGTTGCTCCCAGTAAGTTTGTCGTATAGGGTAAGATGTTAACTTTTACCGGGTTCCTCTTTTGTATTACTCTGAATATTATTACGTTTTACTTGCCGATATTGTTTCGATAAAGCGTTTCGAACGATAACGATGTTGGGTGCTTGTTCAGGTAAATCTTACAAGCATTTCAGGTAATGGAATGCGAAAGCTACGTTTTCGTTTTTCATGGCTGTTTCTTGAGTCTTCAGACTTCGAAAACCCAAATTTAATTAGCAGTCAAACTCAGGCTTTATGATATTATGTATTTTCTGCTGTCAGCGTTTGCCAGTGGTGGAGTTTTCTCGGTGCCCATTCACAACTGCAAGTCACCGTCATCATCGATATGGACAAATGGATGATCGATAAATTCATGCCCAAGTGCGTTGCGCCGGCGAACATGGACGATGACGAACTGCTCATCCACCATGCACGGCATTTGGCCATGGAGCCGCGGTGCCGAGCCACCGTGCAACGCTTTGTAACCTCCAGAACGCGCAACGTCGTCTTCCGCGGAGGTAGGATATTTCCGGTACCTGTCGGGAACAAAAGGGACCGCCGCAACCTCCTGCTGAACTGCGGTAACGTGCATCGGATTCGCCTCAGTTTGCAAGTTACCGACGCGATGCTCTGCTGGATTATGCAGTGCTGCAGCTGGGCCTGGGATGAAGTAGATCCGCGTAGCACTGGCGCTGCTGCAACGCAGCGCAAGGTGGTCTTAGCCCTGTACAAACTCCACCTGCAGTCCGACTCACTGCACCGCCTTCTGGATAGGCCGTTCCTACGGGGAAGAGAGGGAACGCGATGCCGCTTCCCGTCTTTTATCACCACGGTCCAAGTAGCCACATGTACCATGAATTTCTGCGCGGAATTGGCCGTGGATCGGCAGTTGGCGCGGCATAGAGTCGTGCTGCGCCATTTCATAAGAAAAGACACGCTTGTCCAGGAGAACGGCAACTGGCCCTGGCGGCGGGACATTGAGGATGTGCAGCAATACAATCCACCACTACATGTTTACGCCCGCTTCCTACCAGCGGAATTGTCGTCTGCTGAAGAAGAATTCTTGCAGAAAAAACTGCAATCGGGGGATCCGGCTGGGAAAACACTTGCAGGGTTTTTGATCAGGTAAAATTAAAACTTAACTCTGCCGCGTAATGTTGATATCGCCAAGGAGCCGAATTTCATCCTACACTTAATTTCAATCATCTATATGCTTCCTGTGTATTCGCATGTAAGAGCATTTGCCGATCCTCAATCAGCGAATATATTAGAATTTTTAAACGGGTTTGACATGCTAAGGATAAGAGCTAATCACCGTGGAATGTCCAAATTGTAAGTCAGCTGAAACTGTCGGCCGTTGCAGATATGCGCCCAATTTTCCGCTTAATATGGTAGCTCCAGTTGATCCGTCATCGGCCATTAACACACTGGGCCTAACCCTGGAGTCGATCCGTGGTCGACCGCGTTGGTTCCAGGATGGTGTGCTGCAGATTCTGTTGAAGCATCCCGCTGACGTGACCGACACCAGTGCCGTCCCGTAAGACGACCACAGGGCGCACAAAGTTGTTTGTGTTATTCTTTGTGGAAGTTTATAAAAGTACGGTACATGTACAATATATACCGCAACACAATAACAGCAAATTAACTGAATACTGTATCACCAGTTGCGACCCGTAAGGCATTGAATAACGCCAAATTTTGACGGTTGCAGGTGGCTCTGAACTGGCAATAAGATTTGGGATGCCTTAGTTGCTGCAAAATTGCTTTTGTGACACTTCTCGAATGTATTAGTTATACGTAAATTGCAAATCTATTACGTTAAGGGCTAATATAAACTATCGTGTCTTTAACGTCTGTTAGTCCTAGGGAAGGTAAAGGCTTATTTATACTTTTAAGCTGGATGTTAGCGCCGTTTTTGGTCATGGCCACCTGTTTTCTCGGACATTCTGGTGGACGTCCCTAAAACACAATTTTGACGAACGTAGAAAAAAACGTGACTGAAGTGAAGAATAAATACTGTAGGCCTTAAGAGTTAACCTTGATTTCGAACGTTGTAATTTTTAATAGTGTACTGAGTAGTTTCTGGTCACTACAGCAGCACTTACAGGATAATACCATTCCCGTTATCGAACTAATACTGAGACTAATATGAGGATCACTGATCGATCTAGGTTCCATACGGGTATACACGTACGACATTGATAATATAAATTTTGCCGGCTTGCCGGTGAGTTTATAAATTAAACGGAGCACTTCACTTTAAAATTTTCTTTTTCCTGGCCAAGGAAGACTTATCCGATGGAATGCGGCACTGCCATTTATTCGCTAGTTGAGCGTGTTTCCCTTTCCATGCAGCATTCATCTGTACATGAGTAAAAGGTACTCCATCCTGGATCACAAAGCGTCGAAAGCGACCACAAATTGCGGTATATTTTCTCGACTTCTTTTTATGCGCGCATAAAGGAGTATACGAGTAATCAAAGATTGTGATGCTTTTATATATGTTTTACTAAAAATTAGTTTTTTTTAGTAAACATTAGAACGGATGAAGTTATCCTCGTAATTCTAACAGAAAAACGAAAACTTTAGTGCTCGTAGAAGAAGAGAGGGACACACCCAACTGCTCATGCTGTCATAATATAAATATTACACATTAATAATTTACCATCGAAATTTCATAATAGAATATTAATTATCTTCGTGAGAAAATTATTGATAATCTTCGTGAGAAATCATTATGGTAGTATATCTTATAGCAGCTGGCGCATGTCGGTACATCCGTACATGTACAATGAAAATACTTATGCGGTAAAACCACGGCAACAACACCAAAAATGTCAAATTAAGTAGCCACCAGTAATAATTTTTTTGTTCCTGTTTCCAGTAATAATTCTTATACTGTTCTAAATATGCACACGTGCTGTTGAGAAAACGGATTATAAAGCCATAAGTACGGTACGATGCAAGTTGCATCATGCAACGAAAAGTACTGTACAATACAGATATAATTAACGCAGTTGCCGTGATTATACTAATTATTATGGTGCGCCAGGTACGGTACAGTTTTTATCGAATCAACACAGAAGAGAATGAGAATTAAATTACAGTGAATTTCCGGTCAACATTCCAAACACTTTTGATACGCCGCTGAGCCGTTCTAGGGTACATTCCAAACACTTTTGGTACTTCAGTACACTTTTGATACATTCGATACATTGCACGTTGCTGATTATCAGGAATGTCAGTTACTGTACAAACCATTGCTTGTTGACAATCTGCGCTCTCTAGCCATACAATCATCCTAACCAAGTGTGGCCAACTGTACATACGAGTCTGCACGTGGTTGGTGTCGTTGATGCGCCGCACTGCCAAGCAAAGCGTGCGCTCTGCGTTACCTTGCCTGCCTGGTACGGCTGTACCCTGGATTCTCTGTGGTATGCTCATTGCTCACATTGCGCATGGCTGCATTCACCGCATCGAAACGCTATCAGATTCTGGTGGATTTTAGCTGCGGACTTGACGAGGATCCTTCGGCAACAGAGTACACTTTACGGGCTCCACAGCGTTGCTTGTGAGATTGACATAACACTTCCTTTTCGTGGTTGTACGTGGTTGGACTACTAGTGCATCGAAACTAGCTACTACCTATCGGCCGAAAAGATGGATGCTATCCGCGACATTCCTATGGCAGATTTGTCGCCGTTGCTGATCTGCCAAATATGTCGGGGGTTCCTGATCGACGCCACTTCTCTTCCCGAATGTGGCCACGTTTGTAAGACTTAACCCTGATGCTGCTTTTTTTCCAAGATTTTTATACGTATTATCCTTAAGTATTGATTGGTTTGATTCCTTCTTGTGAGCAGTCTGCAAGACCTGCATCGTGAAGCACTGCCACCGGAGTACGGTGTGCCCGTTGGATTCCTGTCGGACTTATATTCACGCCCGACCTCTCACGCGTTTAAAGTACGCAAAAATTTCACAAATAATTGGGCCTATATTATAAAAATTTGGACTTCGTGTAACTTGATGCAGTGCTCTAAAATGGTACGTTAAAAGTTAGGAAACGCTTGCAGTTCATCGGTACTGTCTTCACAGTGGGTCTTATGATAGTTCATAGTAGCATGTCGCATAAACATGGTAAACTGTAAGAAACTACAAGAATATTGAGTTTATGGTATTTTTTTAATTATTTTATCAACTTTGCGTGTACAGGAAGGACACCACACTGCAGACGGTCGTATACAAGCTCCTTCCCGAAATCTACCACAGTGCGTTGCGTAACTTGCGTGTACCCGTTACAATGTTACTGCATCGTCGGCGATTCGCACATGCCAGTAACTAGTAAGTAGTAAGTAGCAACACTGTAACATATTCTTGATTTCTGCAGGTGAGATGTCATGCCGACGGCTATATTTCAAGAACAACGCGCACACCTGTAAGTCATAAACAACTTCGACTTTTCTCAACAGTTCGCTACATATGTCTGAAAATTCATCACCAGTTTCCTTTTAGGTACAAAATTCTGTTTTTAGATATACGTAATTTATTTCAAATACATGTGATTGTTTCCCATTTTGCATTTGACTTTTTACATTCACAAGTAAATGTGGCAATCACAAGTACGCGGAATTTCACAGATAAGAATCTGGTGTACTCAGGTAAAAACACGCGTTATTAAAATAATTCATCTAGTAAAGAATTGTAAGACCACTATCGTATTTTAAGTGTAATTTGCACATTTCTGTGTTACATTTAAAATCGCTAAATCAGGATTATGCAAGACAGATTTTTGAAGTTGTTGCCAGTTCCAGGAAATTGAAATAATTATGTATTTGTTAACTAGTTGCGCCAGTTGTTGGTGTGTTGAGAAAATTCGAATTACAAGTTATAAAATTAATTACAATTCACACCAGCCGCATAATGCTGGGTATTTGATAGTGAACGGCGTCGACCCGCAGCTACTGGATTCCGAGGCCCGCGGCCTGGCCGACCATCCCTCCTGGCTGCCGCACGTCAGCATCCCGGACGAGATTGAAGTGCAGCTGGAATATAAATTCACTCTACTGTACGATTTCACATTCCCCCGTGGCAATTCCGCTAAATACCTTCTGACTTTTGTTAGCTTTTGCGTCGTTTTATTTCTAAACGTCACTTGTACACGTTTTAAGAACATTTAAAGAAACAAGAATTTGTTAGCTTTTTATTATGTAGGTCTCACCTTCGATCGAGTTTCCCTCAGAGCCTGTTAAATAAGGAACGCGAGGCAAGCGAAGGAAAATTTCACCGCTGATACCATGCGTTCGACTGTCTCATGCTAACCTCATTAATTTTGTTAATCGTCGCTTTGACAGGCTGATTCTCGTATGCTGCGCACCATGTGCCATTCTAGTGTCTCCGTCCAGGAACTGCGCCAGTTCATCGTTGATATAATCCGTATCCCCCGCGACGTATCGGTATGACGTTTTGCTGTGTTTAAAACATTATATAAATATTACAGTCGGATAAAGAAATTGTAAATAAATTGTTGGACATGTATACTTGTGACATTCGGACTTTATCGCATTTCGGGCATATTCGCAATATGGATTCGCGTACCGGATACCAGAGGCAAGGTATTCTCTGCTGTGTTTTACATAAGAAAACTTGATAAATTGCGAGTCCATATTGTGAGACTGTCCGAAATGCGATAAATGTCGAAGCAGTTTTGTACTGCTAACGTGCAAGGTAAAGGATACGTTTTCCGTAACGGATGAACGAGTTTTATCGTCACGGCATGTTCGTTTTATTGGTGGTGCGTTATGTACGTTACACATTTTCTGCTGTTTTGCATGCTGCCTTGCGTTGCCTGAGGAAGAACTTTCTTCGGTAGATTGTCATCATGCAGGGCAACGTGGTCATGGCGGACGCGCAGACGGTGGCCGATGTGTGGCGCTTCGACTGCGGAAAACCCGTAAGAAGCACACCTACTGACCTACTTAATCTGCCTTAATCCCCAGTTAATATGACTCCATTTCAACTTAACCAGGAAAACCAGACTTCCGTCAAACTGCACTATATCTTCCTTCCCGCCTCCACAACCCCGTCCTCCCCGGCGGAAATCCAAGATTTCATCTACGGCTGCTTCCGCAAGGATGTCGTCCTCCATGTCCCGCTGTCCGGGCGGATGCGCTGCCCCAAGAAGCGTCCCCATGACAGCACGAAGCGCATGACCGCCGATTTAGTGGAGAATGCGAAACACGATGGGGAATTCGTGTCGGCGACGAGTGCGCTCTCCACGTTGTAGGGTTCCCGCTGTTCTAATACCTACCTCTTTAATACATTGACAGGTTGTGCTCAGTATGGAGTTTTTTCGGTATTAATTTATTCGTGTTTCTGGAGATTTCTTCCTCTTCGTTTAACCGTTCTTACTAACTTGGGAACTGTGTAACCCGAATATTGGCACGTTCCACAATTGTCAGGTCCCAGTATTTCGCTAATTAATTTATGTAGATTTACTATGAATGTGTTTCGGTGTGTTGCTGGTATTCATCGGGAGACGCTAATTTTTTCTCCTTTCTGCCTCTCGGTTCCGTACTGTTCCTGTCCACTGCGGGTGTGTTCGGCAATAAAATTTTCAACGAGCACCAGGTCGGCAAGAATAAACCGTTAACGTCTGCTGAAAAAGCTAATGTACAGTAAACGCCGGTTTGAACAGATCCCGGTCTATCGCTGTTATAGTCCTATTTGAAGCGAATGCCAGGTAATAAGAATGCGATGTCGATGCGACGTATGCGATGTCCAGTTCGGCGTATTCGGACATCGCCTACGTCCGAACGACGCCGCGATGGCTGCACAACCTCTGCCTGGCAGAGAGGGATGTGTCTAGCATGGGATGTCACTTGTGTGGATACTGTTGCGCCTTCCCACATTTAATCCACGGCGGCAAACGCTGGCGCAGGTGCTTTGGATACGGAAGAGAAGAAGTCGCGGCTATATGCGCATCTGAGCGGCAGGTATATTTTTACTCTATTGCTTTCGAAACAATGGGCCCTTGAGAACCGGCTGCTATCGCCATAATCAAAGAGCTGGGCAAACGACTGGAACAGCCGACAGGGGAAAAGCGTTCCCAAGAGTTTTTACGTCAAAGATTGTCGCTGGAGATACAACGGGGGAACGCCGCCTCAGTGTTGGGAACAATGGAAGGAGCGGAAAAGTGTTTAACGAAGTTTTAATGTTGTACAAATTGTGATGTTTTTAATTATTGCATAATTCGTAAAATGAAGCTCAAAACAGATGAATAAAGAATAAATGAATAAAGCTCAAAACAAGAAGCTAATAAACGTAATAATCTAATAAAGGTCATTAAAAGATTTTCCTTTTTTGTGAAACATACCCGAAGCCGCGTTGCTTGAACAGCTTCGCCAAGTGATTTTATTTTCTACGCAGTGCATGTAATCTGGCCATTTTCCTGAAATGCAGGGATTAAAAGCTAATGAGCATCTTCACATCAACATGGCAGAATTCAAGTCTTCCTACAGTGTACAGAGTCGTGCACGATTTTATTAGTACGCATTGTCGCATATCGGCTGCCGACAGGTAATTTCTTCAAATGCGAAGAAAAATACCTGAAAATTAATTCTTTTCGTAATTACAGTACTGTATCTCTATATTTCTGGCACACCCGCGCGTACTGGTACGTACGACGCCGACGTACTACTTGTACGACGTGTACATGTACGTACGTACAAGTTGTCGACTAAATTTTAAAATTTATAGATATAAACGCATCAATCGGCTTTACGCAAATAGCCGATAGCGCCACGGAACATGAGAGCAGAGAGCCGATCACTATCAGCACCAGCGCAGCACACCTGTCACTCACAATCAGGCTGGCTCGCATTCAAAAATTCAAGTCCATCACTCCATCGTCAGATCATTTTGATCCTCTTGCCGTCTTCTTTCGGTTCGACTGATTCACGATCTGCACGTCCTCGTCTTTCTGCTTCGTTTTAGTACAAACGATTTCCTCTTTCCTTTTAGAATGGCCGGCATTTCTAGGGGAGATAGTGGCACAGGTTTGCCGTGTTTTATCCATGATTTACCCGAGGAATCTGTGGTGCATATCTTCTCCTTCCTGGATATCATTGATCGCACCAATTTGAAGGCGTAAGTAATGTCATCTGCAGCATCTCCTGGCCGTGCTGCAACTGATCTCAGGAATTGTGTCGCGTAGAGTGTGCAAACGATGGGCCGACATCAGCGGGGATCCGCGTCTGCAGAAAATCGTCATACTCGATCTGACCAAATGGGAGACCCACCATCCGCGGGCATTGCTGCCACGTACACCTCGCCTCGACGCCAGATCGCAGCGGGACACCGACAATGTGGAGAAGGAATGGCGCCGTCGACTGCTGCAGCGTTTCTGGACCCCGCGGACCCGCCACGTCATCTTCCGCCGCCCGCCCGGGACGGCGGCTCCGTCCGAATCGTGGGGGAAGGTGTCCATTCGGGGCGAAGTGGCGGAGTTGGCCGTGTACTGGCGTTACTATTGGAGCGATATTCACGTCGCCCTCAAGAACATTGCGGGCCTGCTGCGTACCGTTCCCGCGGGGGGTGAGCATGAGGCCAGACAGTGTATGGTAACGTTCCAGAATATTCATATGTTAACGAATGATCTCCGCGACTTCTTGCCACGATATGTTGATACGGTACACCTGAAGAATGTCCACTTGCGCTGCTACTTCTACACGGGAGTCTTCCATCCACTCGACAAACCACCACAGGTGCATTTTGGATGATTACTAGTTTATCGTGTTACTCGTGCACGACATCCATCGTATAAAGCCTAACGACTTGTACGACATGTGTACGACTTCGCAAGTTCGCTGTGATTTCATTAACGCTTTTTGCTGGTATCAGGTTACACGCACCGTACTGGTGGAGAAAGCGGTGGTGGTGCGTGGGCCTTCCGGCGCGTGGCCCTGGGCCAAGGAACCATTTTACACCACATTCCCGGGAATCCGACACCGTCAACTGGAGTTCTTCAGTCGCTTTCTGCCGAATTCCTTGACCGCCGCGGAGGTTAGCTTTCTGGAAGACAAGTTGCAGTCACCGGAGCCCATCGGCTGGACGCTGTCGCGTTTCCTGACCAAGTAAGCCGGGGTTCTTCCTCAGCACATTATGGTGATTTTACTCTAATTTATTCATCTGCACGTGTTCGAAAGTAATTCCTGCACGTGTTGGAAACTCGATCGAAGGTACGATCGTGCAACAGTTCTACGTCCGAGTTGCTGACTTGGATGCTGTTACAGGAGCGTGCGACTGCTCGGGAATGAAGACATCCATCCAGGGACGTCCATCAGCTCACTGGGATTGACGGTGAAGCGCATCGGGAGCTTCCCGCGCTGGCTGCAGTATCTGATGGTGGAGCTGCTGAAAGATCCGTCTATCGAAATTGTTCCCACGCAGTGGGACGCTTCCTGAGCGGCCTCACGGTTCTGTGCATACCATCTGCCAGTCATGTTCTGTCTGAATGGTTTTCCTGAATGCATTGATCATGATGCTGTTTTCCGTCTTGTCTTTTTCCTGACGCTGAAAAATGTTGATTAATTTCCGACAGTATAAAGAACAGCGTAAGTTAATAACAAGTTTTATGAACACTGGGTAGCAACGTTAAACGTATTATAAATTTCTGAGTAGCTCTGGTCGGTTCCGTTACTGGCTATAACTGCAAATCCTAAAAGCATCACCCGATTTCCGGTAGTATAGAAGTATTGCAATCAACAATTCTGCAACATACGATACATAAATACGTACACACAAGTGACACAACACAAACCCGTCCAGATGGTTAGCACGATTAAATACGGCGAAAATGAAAGTAAATTCATGGGTTGCACCAAATAACACACCACATCACGCTACGCCGTACGTATTACATGCATTTAGCATGGTTGGTGCTTTAGGCGGTGTCCGGTGATGAACTGTTTTTTTAGATTACTAATTACTGTGATATTTTGGTCATCAAATAAATTAATGCTTCTATAAATATAACTTGTAATTCCTTACCTGATCGTAATTAATATTTTTATATTTGGATACAACTTTTCACTGGCCGCTCGCATTTATTTTGGCAGAATTCTACTTTACGCACAACGTACCAAATATGTATGTAGTAATATGAATAAAAAATATGTTTAAGGCCGGTCCATTTTTGATATACATACTCGTACTTTATGTCTTATTCATACCGTACGCACTGGAGAGCACCTGGAACATGTCGAGCCATTTCTCTGACTGCCCGGTAAAAAAATGGCCAAGTTTCACGATTCCGGCGTTATTGATTAGGACGTCCACTTGGTATTATAGGCCTGTTCAGTTGGCTGAACACCCGCTGAATGTCCACTTCTTTGGTGAGGTCACACTGTGCCGCTTCGATCCGCCCATTTCCGGTGGCTTCTTGCTTCCTCACCGGCTCCTTGGGATACACAGCAACGCGGGTAAATTAAAATCTTCAAAATAAAATGACCGGTTTGCAAAATGCAGTGCAAATTGTCCAACGACATCGGGTGCGCGTGTATAGTATCTGGAAGAGACACAATCCGGAAATGCTGCATCTTGTATAATATATGCTATATATATAAAATACAGGCACATTTGGAAATGTACATTAATGATAAATTTCCTTTCGGCCAGACCAACGGGCTAGGAATGAGCATGTGCGCCAGGGAGACACTGTGACTGATGCAGAAAAACGGGATAGCCGATCTCCACAGTGTTATCGTTAACAGGTACATACATGATACACACATAATTTTGAAGCTGTATCCCCGGTACATGCTTCCCAGTTACGTAGGTGCATACATGATACAACCAATGTTCCAATGTTAATGCGGTTATGGCGGGCACAAGAAAATCGCCTACGGACCCGTGCATTTCTATCTGTACTGACAATGAGCCACCAGAACTCATGGTGACGGCCTCAGCGGAAGCAATATTTTACCGGGAAGTGCGAGGAGCTATGACACCAATGAACAACATTCGAATAACACGGTAACACTTTGAGTCTTATGGTTAGCATAAAATACCTGCAGGTTCCATTTACATGACTCAATGTTTTACGACTGTATAAATTTTAAAGATTCTTATAAACGAAATTAAAGGTGCTTGTTGCATACAGCACATTCTATGATTGTTAATTGTTATATAAATGTAATACAAAACTATTACCACAAAACTATTAGATATGTTTAGTACTAATGTCGCATGCATGTTCCTTAGATCAACAGAAGAAATACGCAAAACTTCAAAAGATTTTCTTTTTTTGTTTTTTATATTATCTGCAGACTATACGGTAGTTAGAAACGAGGAATATTGTCAGCTGTATTTTTCACATTTCGAAAATTAATTACAATTATTGTGGTACTATGCTTCAGCCCCTTTACGACTACGACTCTCCACTGTGGCACGGCTTGATTACGATAAATTATTAACACCGTGAGTCTTTTTAAAATTATTGTTATAAGTAAGCTTTATTGTTATAAGTAAGCTTATAAGTAAGCTTATATGGTTTTTGTTAATTGATATTCTTGTATTACATTGTCCAATACGAACCTCAATAAAGTAAAATAGCATTTAAAAAAAAGTAAGCTTTATGCTTCAACACTGATTCAACACTTCAACACAACACTGATTCAATACTTCAACACAAAAACAACTTATTACACAGCAACAAATTACTGAAAATAATTGACAGAACTATAGATTAATTAACCGCTGTTAGCTGTTCGGTGCAAGCATCCTTTACAATGTTCTTACTGTATTGTGCGTAGTTTATGGATGCCGCCTTGTACAATACGCTGACTGCTATCAAAACTTAACTCTGTTGAGCGATCGGATGATACATCCATCCGGCTGTGCTGGTAGCCTGGTGCATTCCGCAGGCGAAGTGGACCTTGGACAACCATTTGCTTATCTTGCTTGACCAGGCTCTTCTTCAATCTGGAAGTGGAGACATTCACTCGTGTCTGCGATTTCCTTTATGTACACGTGTGAGCTGTCACTTGCCAGATTTTCCGCGTTGCAGCAGACGGCTGCAGCCATATTTTTATTTTCTGCTTCCTTTTCCTATCTTGCTCACAGTTAGTGGAATTTTTACTGCACCATGGCAAAAATGGCTACTGCTTCCAGAATTACTGTGTTTTGGCTGTTTTCGTGTGCATTGCCGTCCACCAAGGTAGTCAGGGAAAAAATAGGAAAATATGTATTCTAGATGGACTAGAGAAAAATATTTTGATATGTTGTAGTTTACGTTATGTTGTAATTTACAATATGTATGTTTCTTCCGGATATGTTGTAATTTACGATTTATGGCTTTTTTGACATTATGATGATTTTATTCTGTAGCCAATGGTCTCCGCTGTTACACCTGCTCCAATAATGTGTCTGCTTGCCCCGGCCTGGTGGATGTTGTCCAGGAGAACTGCAATACTAACCAGGATGAATGTTTCGAATTCGAGGGAGACGTGAAACTGCACGGAATGCTCTTGAAAAGTGAGTGAATAGAACCGATGACCTTCTTTGCTTTACGTAATTCTTCGCGGTAAGGAATTTCCACGTAAAATATACGGCTGAATCTCCTTGCTCTTGCTCTTAAAACTTAATCTGAGAAAATTACATAATTTGGGCGGTACAGCGTTCATTAAATAGTCCATTCGTCGTTAAATTGTTTTGATGAGTAAAATGTTTTTCTTTTTGACCGAATTGTTTCGATGGTAACAAAATATCAGAATCTTTCTGCGGCGTGCATAAAAACACATGGTGTACCGTTTTATGCACCTTCGTTTAAACCTTCGTTTGTTTCATTTCCTGTTGTATTCTTCCGTTAAATCATCGTGTTCTTGAGCGTTACGTTAAATCACGTTAAATTGTTTCGTTAAATCCTCGTGTCCGACTGTCCGTTACGCTGAACAGGCACTTCATGGTTCTGCGCATGGTTTAATTAACACCGCTGTTTTCTGCAGACTAATTTAGTATTTGCCTTCTGCTACATTAAATCGTTGTGCTCGAGCACAATGTTACATTGAATCATTGTGCTCGAGACTGAGAGCTCTCGGTCGCGGTATACGTTACACTCAATAGGGATCGAAGCTACTTCTATGCGAATGGTTTAATTGTCACCGCTGTTTTCTCACTTCCGCACAGACCTTACGACCAAAGCCTGTGTGGCCTATAGCACCATGCAGCGGTTTTCCGGCGGCTACACCTTCGAGCGCAACAACTGCGTGCTGGTCACCGCCGCCAAGGAGCCCAACAAAAGCCAGTACTACACGGGCCGGATCTGTCTGTGCAACGACAAGGACTTTTGCAACTCGGCTGCCTTCTATCCGATCTCCCTTCTTCCGCTCACCATCGGCCTGTTGGCAGCCGTTTGGCTTAACTTTAAAGCGGACATTGTACGCTGTTGTTATCTGGTTTCTACCTATTGTATTTGTCCTGTTTTTGTACGTTTTAATGCAGTGTTTTCTTGGGATAAAATCTTCCACACATGACTATTATTTTCTACACCGGAATATTATACATTTTTCCAGTTTCTTTCTTTGGGCAGCGTTACAGTGCGCCGTGTGATTTGAAACCATAAAATTACGATCCATAGCAGAGGTGGCTGATATAGTCATGTATTTTGTAAATCTGCAATAATGAGCGATGGAGTAAATGCCTGGCGCACGTGTGTAGTGAAAAGAATACATCGTTTCGTGGAAGAATTCGTGAAACTAGTAAACATCATCAAAACAGCTATTCCACCGGAAGCCCCGGACATCGGAGTTTTGTTTTATTCTTCAATTTCGTGCGGGTTTCTTCCCACGAAACCTGGTTTCACACGAAAAAAGTCTATGAACCGGAAACAGAGCGGGCTGGTGAAAAAGCCGAGCAAAAGGTTGCGGTTTATTCTCGCTGTGTGCGGTATTGTTTGAAATTGACCCTTGGGAGTTGGAAGTACCCATTGGTATACCAGCTTTGTTGGTGCTTACTTGTTAATGTACAGTTTACGTTATGCCACCCACGTATCGCCAGTAGTGCGATCTCGGTTACCCTGCTTAAGGCGCTGCTTCAAACCACACAGTTTAGTAATCTTACTAATCTATGACCTTTTCTCCAAGTACATCTATCTATATAAAGCTGTTTACCACTCAAACATTTCTTCCCTTTCGGCTGTTCATACTTCATAACCATAGCTGTTCGTAACCGCTGTTCGTAGCCGATTATTTAGCCGGCAGGTTTCCAAAGCACACCTGCGTCCTCATCAATGTCAATCGTCTGTGGACGTAGTTCTGGCCGGTGTCCTACCGTCACCGTCACACGACGACAGTCGCCTGGTTGATCTGCTTGGGCATGGTGCCGGTGGTATACGTCCACGTGTTTCAGTTACCGGCAGTTGTTACTGACGCTTTGTATTACCGCAGTTTGGAGGCAGGGTGTTTCGTCAACCGCGTCGCCCAAAATACCTGGGCGACCGTTCAGAGTATCTGGGTCTTCCATATCACAATCTTCTTTGTCCCAGCGTGCTACCCGTTATTGTTATGGAAGCAGTTGAGTCGGCGGAAGACGCTGAAGCGCACCGGAACAACAACCGATGTCAGTTCGATGCGAGGCAGTCGCAGTGTTGCCAGTCGCCGGCGAACGAAAGGATCGCGGTCGTTCATCGTCACTAGCTTGTTTACGCTGGGGTTCGCCGTGAGCTGGATGCCCAGCGATCTCTATTATATTCTGGTGGACTGGATCCCGATGGGCCGGCTGGACACGTTGCGTAAAGTGCAATCGCCTGCTTTCTCTACTGGATCCAATAAATATTCTTCAGCCTAACTACGGAACATTTGCATGGTTAAATGAAATGGTTCTGGCAGAAAAGCGCTGTACGGGGAAAACGTTCAATATGCGCCTCCTAAACTGGAAAATGCTGTTCGTAGTTCGTACAGACAGTCATCCAGCGCTTATTTCTTTATTTTCATATGTGAGCGGCTTTCCTTAACTCTTATTATTTTGTTTTACATGGCTTATTTTAGCTTATATAGACGTATGGGTGTGCATTGCATTTTTGTATTGCGAAGAATATTTCCAATATTTTTCACACAGCCATCTTATTATGCACAAACCTCGGACATGTTTATACGTACATAATACATACTGTACTTACTTATTTACATGATCGATCTGACAGATAGTCAGATACACAGTATAAGGCATACGCCTGTGGTATAATATGTGTGCGACCTTAATTAATTATTAATTGATAATTATTAATTTCATTATAACCTTGTACGTCCTGGCTTGCTTAGATACGAATGTACGTACGCTGTTGTCACGTACAACTGCGTGAGCAGTTAGTGCGTTCGCAGACAAGTATACAACTAGTAAACATCAATAAAAATTAATGTCGAAAGTATTATACGGTACTTTCTCAATACTTGACAACGCCGTTTGTTCGTGCTGCAGAAAAATCTGCGGTCATTTTTTTCCCTTAGTTATTCTTTTAGATGCCATCTGAATTTCTGAAAGGTGGAAATTGATGTGCTTACAGTGTAATTAACGTAATTACACTGTAGTCGTAAATATTGCTATCGGTGCTGGATCCGGGATGACATCAGATGCTTGTAAGGAAAGTAGTTGTTCACACCAACTTCGCCATTTCCTGAAAGCACTACTAAGGTGCGCTTTTGTACGTACAAATGGGCATGGACGACCAAAATGACCAATTAAAACGCGCACATCGGCCTCGCTGCGCAACTGAGCAAGAGAACAGAGAGCAAGCATGTCTGAAACGACGTAAAGCGTTCAGTATCCAGTGATCGCGATGCGAATGGGCTCTAATACTGTACGAGTACTTACTGTTAATTTTAACACTTCTCTAAATTCTGATCATTAGCGATTCTCATTGATTTCTGGTTCCAGCTTATCCTGCACTGCTTCGCGCGCTTTACGTTTACGAATTTGTTTCTCTCTTGTGCACGTAGAAGGCTTTTTCTGCTTCGTTCTTCAACAGCACACTCTGGATTTCTACAGAATGTCTGGCAGTTTAACGCGAGATAACGGCACAGGTCTGCCATGCTTTTTCCATGAGCTAGCCGAGGAATCCGTTGTGCATATCTTGTCGTTTCTGGATATCATTGATCTGACTAACTGCACGGTGTAAGCAAACGGTTTTCTTAGCATCAGCAGCCCCACTGGCAGTATGATGCGCTGATCATACAATTCTGTTGACAGGGTGTGCAAGCGATGGGCCGACATCGTCGGCGATTCGCGTCTACGGAAGACCGTCATTTTCGACCTGACCAAATGGGAGACCTACCATCCAATGGCACTGTTGCCACGCCCGTCTCGTTCCGATGCGGACGCGTTTCGGGAAGCCAAAACCGTGGAGACCGAGTGGCGCCGCCAGCTGCTGCAGCGCTTCTGGACCCCCAAGACCCGCAACGTCATCTTCCGACGCCAGCCAGGAACGACGGATCCACCTGAGTGTTGGATGAAAATGGGCTTTGCTGAGCGGGAAGAAGGCCAAGCTGCGCAGCAACTGGCCGCTGGTTGGCATTATATGTGGGGCGATATTTACCTCGCACTGCTGGACATCTCGAAGCTGCTGCCTGACGCACCCGAGGGCGGTGGTCAGCAGCACAGGGATTGTGTGGTTACGGTGCAGGACGTCCACATGCTGACGGGGGATCTCGCCAATCTCTTGCCTGGATACGTCAAAAGCGTCCACCTGGAGAACGTCCGCGTGCGCTGCTATTTCTACACCGGGTTGTTCCATCCGCTCGACAAACCGCCACAGGTGTGTATGCATTGCAGACAAGCGCTACGTAACTTGTATCCATATCTCTCTAATAAAGGCATCGTTATACAAAATTACTGTGATTTAGGAAACACAGAAATTTAAAAAATTATGATTCAGATTCGCGGATAGTTGAGTGATGTTTCTGCTCGTTTCCAGGTGACTTTAACTGTGCGGGTGGATAAAGCGGTGGTGGTGCGCGAGAACGGGGTGTGGCCTTGGTTTAAGGAACCCCTGGACGTGGACGAGTTTCTGGAATCTCTCCTGCAAATCCGCCATCAGGACTTGACGTTCTTCGGCCGGTTTCTTCCGGATTCCTTTACTGCCGAGGAAGAGAGTTTCCTGGAGGAACAGCTGCGGTCGGAGGAGCCCACTGGCTGGACGCTGTCCCGCTTCCTCACCAAGTAAATATAGATCATGCGATGTGCGGGAAATTTCGTACCGCTTCATTGATTTCTCTATCGTGTATTAAGCGGTGAAATTTGTGTGGTTTTTGCAGGGGTGTGCAGCTGCTGGGTGACGAGGATGTCCTTCATTCCGCGCCCATCAATTCGTTGGGACTAACGTTGGAGCGGGTTCGTTCCTTCCCGCGCTGGCTGCAGTACTTGATGGTGGAGCTGCTGAAAGACCCGTCCATCGCGATTTTTCCCTAAGATGTGATGCTGCAGTGTCTTGTGGCGGAACGCTTCCTGGAAAGGTTGCCCATACTCGACTTGTGCATGGTGTTAGTCATTCCGATCCTGCTTGAATGTTTGTTTTCGAACTCCTTTCCCGTTCCCTGGGTGTGAAATTTTTGGAACTGGTTTTGGATTTGCGTTGATATGTTTTTCTGTGAAGTTGCACAGGTACGTCGGTTGTACGAGTACGTGCACTAATTTGTGTGCGGAATGGCACGTTGCCAGCTGAAACGTTTGGCGTAATTTATTCTTCATTTTCACAATAAAAGTTTGCAGAGTGCGTCATGGTTCGATAACCAAGCAACGTAGCGAATGGGAACCCTTAAAAACTTTCGGTAAACCTAAAGGGAATCACGCTGCCACGCGCCCTTAAATTCCTGGAATGCGCCCGTATGAAATGCTTATGCGTTCTTCGGAGAATCTTATTTTTAATCAATTGGAAAGATGCCTCCTACGACAAAATGCGCAACGCAGCCTGAAGGAGATTCTTCCATGCACTTTGAAATAATGTACGGCTAAAGCAGTGCATACAAACAAAAGCGTAAGTACACGCTGACCGCTGTCCTAGCAACGCTGCCCCACGACAACAATAACATGCCCGGCGTCGTAGACTCGTGGCGCGTGGCCCTCCATGGGTTCCAATTACAGCCATTTGCTGTTTATGCAACGCTGGTGTATTAATCCACTTGCTGACTTTACTGAGTCCCTTATTCTTAAACTTGATCACTGCATGAATACTACAATTGCACGAATACTACAAATGCATGCAACTTTACCGACAAAAATAAAATTGTTGATAATACTGATTTTGGTTGTTTTTTAAACTCTTGGTTGTACAATAACGGCCGTAGTGATCTGGTTCATGACTGTTATGCCGCGATGTAAACATTATTAAAGAGCATACTGCATGAATATTACATAAAACAAAAGTTGCAGAAGACACTGGCTAGACAGGCTAGTTATAATAAATTTTAATGCGTTGTTGGTCACAGGTTGCTTTCATTCCAAAAATGCTTATATTCGAACGGTTGATCCACCAGTTTGTGCTCGAAGTCTTCGATCCATAATGCACCTGGATGCTTTCAATCGGATGCGCGGCTTCAAACGTTTCTACACCAGCGTACGTATTCGCATCATCGCCGAGGAGGAATTCATCAAAATGAAGCTACAGTCGGAAGATCACATCGGCTGGGCGCAATCCCGTTTTCTCAAGTCAATCTAGAAATTTCAGATTTTAATCGTGCATCTCCTAATAGTCCAATACTAATTCAAGCCCACGGTTAATTTTAACCGTTCATCTCCTGGTAAATCTCCCAGGAGATGAACGATTGAAACTTTATGCATAAACTAATAACGGGAACTGGTAAAATTTGTTCATTAGGCAATGAGGAAAATCGCTATGGAAAGATCTCTTATTGTTAGCAGCTCCACCACGAAGTACTGCAGCCAACGTAGGAACGATCGAATCTGTTCCAGCGTTAATCCTAACAAGCTGATCTGCGCCCAGTGAAGCACATCCCCCATATCCCAGCAATCGCACGCTGGCGAATCAAGGGCGAAACCGGTATAAATTTTACAGGAATAATCCCCCATAACTCATGGCTTCCAAAAGCGTTGTCAGTTTTGGTAACTTGCCGTGAATACGGTTATTTCACGTAGCAGTTATCATTGTCGCATTGACCTCGTAATCACCTGATCGATTTATTCCTTGCCTCGGTCAACTCGGTACGCTCTCTGGTGCCCCACATGACTGACCTGTACAACGAAGCATATGCGGCACGTGCGGAACAAGCTTGGGAAGCAATGGGGCCGGCGGAACTCCCTGCAGAAAATTTGCGTGCTTCTCAGCGTGCCTGGGACACACTGGTTGTTCTCTTGCAGAAAGAAGCAGTATTACGCCAAACCAACTCCGTTAATCAGAAAGCCCGGCTGCTAGCCGTGTCCCAGCCCGAATTTGGGCTGTGGCTTAACGCGGTTCCAGTGGCAAGCCTCGGTACCTTGTTATCAAATACCGAAGTGAGAATATCGATTGCGCAGCGCATCGGCGCTCCAGTATGCGTCGAACACCGGTGCAAATGCGGCAGCACCGTTGATGTGTGGGGATATCACGATTTGGGATGCAAGCGCCTTAACGCGAAGTGGCTAGCAACTCGGTCCTTCTGCGGAAACGGGCATACCGTTGACGCGTTGCACTTTTAGAGAAAACCGCAGCATATGACACATAAAGAAATGATTTTTGTACTTTAAAATGGGTTCAGTAAGAGTAACACATTTGTTGTTGCTGAGAAATTAGCTTTTAAAGTGAAAAATTTGAAGTCGATTTTTACAGAGTACAGATTCGAAAAAAAATATTCTGAAACGGCCATTTTATAGAGTGAAGTATTAGAAGCTTATTATACGGACAGAATTTTGATTGATAAAAAGCAGAAAAAGAAAAGAAATCGGGGGTGCCAAAGAAGTGCTTGGGGCACTCTACACCTGGATATTTCTGACCATATCTGCCGAACAAAACCCTAAACAGAGATTCTGTCGTATAATAAGCTCAGGCTCCGGTACTTTGTTTAATGCGATTTTATTCGTAATTTTTGGCAAACAAATGTATTCACAGCTGATTTTCAAAGTTTTTTTACGTTTTGTTCACTGTTAGCTTGCAAAAGTACGCCTCTTTCACGGCTTTGGTGCCGGTACCGAGAGGTGCTGGCTTCCGCACACAAAAGCACATGCACATGTGGAGCAACGCAGACCAGGGGCAGGCAGGCAGCCATATAACATTCATGCAGACTGATGCAGACACTAAAACAAAAGACTGCAATCAGACGGCAGATTTGCGTTTATGGCGTCTTTTGTTTCTCTTTCTTGTCAACAAGCTCAACAAAGCTGGATGGGGCAGTTGCAGATTTTGATCGCACCTGATTGCGATTACTTCAATGCCAACACTGATGTCGGGGGCGATTGAAGGAATATGCCATCACTCACAATAAGTGCGGCGCAACCCATTATTTTGCGGTTCACCTTACGTGCCCCCCTCTACCACACGTACAACATTAATTTTTTGCTTGTTAACGAAAAAAGGTATACTCATTACAATTATCGCTTTATGTAGTGTAAAAAACGCTCTGTAAGATGAGCTAAGGTAATTTTTGGGAATTATTTTGAAAATTCGCTAGCCACTTCGCGTTAAAGCGAAGATTTCCCGTCACAACGAAATCAGAGATGTCATCCATCGCGCGTGTGGCTCGGCCAGTATCCCTTCAGTTCTGGAGCCGCCAGGACTGTACCGCGATACCCTGAAACGACCGGACGGTATGACCTCAGTCCCCTTCAGCCAGGGCAAATCTTGGGTTTGGGATGTCACGTGCCCGGACACCATGGCCACTTCCTACATTGCCAAGACGTCCCAGGAAGGCGGCGCGGCCGCCACCATGGCAGAGGCAAAGAAAAACAACAAGCACGCCCATCTACGGGATAACTTTATTTTCTCTGCATTGGTTTTTGAAACAATGGGCGTGTGGAGTAAAGAATCTAAATGTAAGATGTCTACGCTCGGTAAGATGCTTTTTGAGAGGACACAGGAGAAACGGTCCACTCTATTCCTGAAGCAGAGGATCATTATAGCTTTGATGCGGGGTAATGCTGCTTGTGTTCAGGAAACGTTCTGTATTGGTAAGAGATTGGACGAAGTGTATTACGTGCTGAAATGATGTGACGCGTAATTTTGTTTCTATCCAATGTTCACTCGAATAACCCAATAAATGCTTTTACCCCTGATCGATTTACGATCGTTTATTTCACCTGAGGTACAACCTAAATTTGTAATAATAGAAAGCATCACCATTTTTTACAACATCAGAATTTCATTGAACTTTTCTGCTCCTTCCATCGTTCCCATAACCGACGCCGCGTTGCCGCGCTGAATCTCCAGTGACAATCTTTGGCGTAAAAATTCATGAGAACGGGCTTCCCCGTGTGTTGCTCGAGTCGTTTGCCCAGTGCTTTGATGATGACGATAGCGGATGGCCCCCAAGGGCCCATTGTTTCGAAAGCTATCGGTGCAAAGATGTATCTGCCACTTAGATACAAATAAAGCCGGGATTTACGATTCATTGTTTGTGAATCTAGCGGATATCACCATTTGCAAATGACCCCAACTCTAAATCGGCCATCGAATCTGTAATTGTAGCTGATAAGACTTTGGATCTGACCGCAGTAGAACTAAGAATACAGATAACGGTGGCTTAAGCATGTTACCGCTTGCACGCAGGTGTGTTGGTCACTAATTACTAGATCATGTACAATTGCGCAAGCCATGCGCCTGCCACTGCTTATCGCCAAGAGCGCAAAAAAATGCATGATCCTTTAAACTGAAACCGGATCGAAATGAACTTTGGTCTGATGGTAGACCAGACCAAGTTGACTAAATCTACAAAGTTTCGAAAATCGGAATTTCGGTAACCCAACATGGTAAAATGTCTTCTTAACAGAACCAGGCAAGAACAATAATATGTGCTACGACTTACCTGTACCATGTGAAAAATTTGGTTGTGTATTAAATTTAATTCTTTCTCTGCAGTCCAGTACTGCGTCATGGAAAAAGGCACTAAAGTTCTGCACTCGATGAGTCTTCAGTCTTTCAGGATAGCCCATTTCTGCCGATTTCCACAGACTTTTGTTTAATCATTGTTTTAGCCTATTCGGCTTCTAGCCGAGTGTCTCAGCCTGCCTGTACCCTTGCACAAGACATTCATAATCACCCGGTTTGTACCTACATACGTACACAATGCCATGCTGGACTGCACTTTGACAGCACTGCATTCTGTGCCGGCCGTCGCAGTCGCAACTAGGATAAGTACTTATAATAAACAATCGATGGGCAGTGCAAAGTCCAGCCGGCGCCAGATTTACAAATCAATTGAACAGGTCAGAGTAAGACGAACAACTGAATTCATGATACCAGCGAGACTGAATTTGGAACAGGCAATTACTGTAGCAGGCATGGTTCCAGAGAGGGCGCTACCGCGCTTGTCCTCTGCGTCGACGGATCTAGCAGTTTTCTTCTATTTG